ATCTGTGATTCCTAAGTACAGTATCCACACATTCACCTCAAAACATTAGATTCATCCGCGCTGGAGCCGCGCCGGTGCACAACCCACATAATGAAGATAATTTTGCAAATAACTGTAATTGCAGGTTTCAAACAGAGGTGGCGACAAAGAGGCAAAACTTACGGACTGCAGCTTTAAGTAAAGATGTACTTCATACAGTTTTCAGAATTATATATTTGGTAAGTTACATAGCAACTAACACTGAATAAAGGAGATCTTACCAGCTGATCTTCAGCAGAAGGAATATGCTGACCATAGATGACCTCTGGATTATACAGGCTGAACATCACTGGATAAAACACCTTTTGACCTGTGAGAGCACATGAGGAGTTCAGTAGCTCCCTCTTGTGTTAGCCTGCAACTAACACTGTTTCTGACTCGAATCGTGCTGCATAATGAATTTGTACTTCTATCATCTAATCAGTGATACAAGGTCCCAAGATTTAATGGAGGGAGACTAAAACACTCTTTTGTGCATTTGTTATATAAGATTGTAAAGACTGGTGATCCATGTGGTAATAACTGCTAACAATCATGCTGTCACACAAGAATATATAATATATCATATAGCTTGTCTGTCGAGGGTCCAACAGTCTAAAACCAAATTAAATATATTTGCTTTATACACTGGGGAAAAAATGGTGTAGAAACAATTTTCACTCAGAAATTGCTAGTAGTTTTTCCAAGTGAAACACTGATTTTGAAGTAGAACGGCTGAAATAGTATTTTCTTGTAAAACATTCCTTAAAAACATATTTTTTTATAGTCTACTTAACCCTAATTTCAAAAGAACAAAGTTTTAGTATTCATTTTTTTCACAAACTTAAAAGACTTTAAAAAGTTAATGTAATGATGTAAAATAAAGAAGACAATTCATATTATTGAACACATCTTCATTGTTTACTCTCATTTAGAACAAAACTGGCCATTAGAATAAGAGTTACTGATTTCTCATATTTTATATTTGTTTAGTCTCTGACAAGCTATACAATAGATGTTTTGTGTTTTTGCTAGAATGTTTATTTTTGTTCATAGTGTTCATTTTCGGTTTCATTTTCATGTTTTTCAGCGTAAATCCCTTAATTACTTAAGAACAATCAGGCATGTTTTTCAGACTTATCAGCTATGATGATAACTGATCATATTACCCTGTCTGTGCAGCTCATTTTGAACATAAAAATAGCTGAAATATGTTAAATTGAACAAGGAAAGAACAATTTTAAAACAGAATAAGAGTTACTGATTTCTCATATTTTATATTTGTTTAGTCTCTGACAAGCTATACAATAGATGTTTTGTGTTTTTGCTAGAATGTTTATTTTTGTTCATAGTGTTCATTTTCGGTTTCATTTTCATGTTTTTCAGCACAACAGGAATGCTTTAAATGCTCAGATGTGTGTTTGAGTCACTGCCGCACTGATATTTGTGCTAGACAACGCTATAAATGCCAAAAGATCACTAATATCATTGTTATATATCATCATATCGCATTTTTATAAACCAGAAAAATGCAAAATAAATGAACAAAAACAAATTTTAAAGTTTGGGCTCCTACACATTAGATCACTCGCACCCAAAGCAGTTATTGTAAATGAAATGATCACAGATAATAGTTTTGATGTACTCTGCTTGACTGAAACCTGGCTCAAACCCACTTTGTTTATTTAAACGGGGGGTCATCTCAGTTATAACCAGTAAAGTATGGAGTGCCACAAGGATCTGTCCTAGGTCCTCTGCTATATTCGTTATGAAAGAGTTGTTGACAGGCGTTTGGGTTTTCTCAGTGCTGTACCTGGTTCTGTGTTCATACGGCAGGAGTTCAGGAACTCTGCACTAAACCGAATGTTCACATCACAGAGAAACAGGAGGACGTTGCTTCGCTTCCAGGCTCGAGCGCCGACATCCAGGCCTCGTCGTCTGGAGAAGGCTTCGTTCAGACGGATCAGAGTCACGTTCCTGTATTTCATTCTCCTGCGGGACAGAGACTCGTCTAGAGTTTCATCATAACAGATCACTGTGTTGTGAAACATTCTGGCCAAAATACAGTTTAAAAATATGTTGTTAACAATGAAACTCAATGAAATATATTTTTTAAATTGAAAATATATTTAGTTTCAACTTTAATATTCAAAAATACATTTCCAATTTTACAGTAGCCTACATTTAGGATTCATTCATTATTTAATTTTATTCAAATGTTCATGTTCACATGTGTTGCAGACAACAAATAACATTTTTTTTGCAAATATATCAATGTAGTTTCTTGGATTGAAATATATGGAGGGCAAAATTTTCAAACATTTTTAAATTATTTAAAATATATATATATTTTCAAAATATACAAAAACAAAAATGGCCAAAAAATATATTTATAGAAAATACTTTTTGTAAATATATTTTGAAACACATTTTAGCTTAAATATATTCTGCCCATTTTTTTTGCTATATGGACTAACAGATATTTATATATATA